GGCGGCTGGGGGCTCCGAGTTCCCAAGACCGTACGGTAACGGACCGCGCGGTGAGTTCTCTTGGGATTTCGAGGTTCGTGCGCGGTCCATCACCACACGGCTCTGGGACCCCCGAAGGGTGGCCGTGCCGAGCTCTCCCGACACGCAGGCTCGGCGGAGTCCTACTGGGGCTGCCTGGGGGCTCGGCGCTGCGCTGCTGCTGCAGCTTGCTGCGTCGGGTATCGACGTTCCATCCATACCCCTGCTGCTGCCCCCAACTGTGGCCGCCGGGTGGGTGGGTGGGGTGGGGCATGGATAAAAAACTTGGCCCGCAGAGGCCAGATTTTTATCCTTGGCTCTACTCCGCCCCCTCGTGGAGTTCTGGCGTGAGCAGGGATGTGGATCCGCAGGTTCGTGTCATGCCGATCCCGGCGCTGGTTTCTGACACCGCGGGGATCGTTCAAGCTTGAAGGATCGGCTGTTCCCGAAACGAGAGATCGTTGAACATCGACCGATTCTGGATCGCCAGCGGCGTTCAACGGCGGCGGCAGGGTCACCGCTGGTCGACACGATGCGAACCTACCAAATGCCGATCGCCTACAGCCTGCCGCGCTGCACGGACCCGGCGCTCCCTCTCGGGGAGCTCCTGTTCGGGGGCTTTCTATTCAGGGCCTCTCCGGCGCCGCCCTGGCGCCGCCCTGGGCGCCCCTGTTCGGACGAGGCCTCTCGAGGAGGCTCGGCGGAGCCCGTCGAGGGGTTCATGGGGCACCGTCCCCAGAGATCCAACGTATTGAAAAAATCAAGATTGAAGTTTTTCGTCGTTTTCGGCCTCTGGAGGCCCTCGCCAGGCCCTGGGACCGTGTGAAACGACTCAGGAAGAACAGCTGGTCCCAGGGAGGGGTCGAGATTTCTGGGGACCCCATCCCATACGGACAAACTCAAGACATTGGATTTCTGGGTCTGGGCCGGGGCCGTCTTCGGGGGGGGGGGACTCGGGTCGCCTTGAGGTCTTGTCGTGGGCGAAAAGCATATCCGTATCCGCGACCTCGCGGTTTGGATTCTTGGTCGCGATTCCGTCGCACGCGCGGGGCATCCGCGAAAAAGCGCCCCGCATCCGCGGGGTCGCGGCCCAGGGGCCCGGCCCGCGTACGTTCACCGCTCGTGATCTCGGGTCGTCTCCAGGCCCTCCTGGGGCCGCCTTTTGAGGGCACTTCGGGGCGCTCTGAGGCCACCCTGAGCCGAGAAGTTTCGGGTGCCTCTCCTGCGCCGCACGAGGTGAGCCGCTAGAGGCCGTCCCGCCGACGTGCAGAAGGATTGCGCAGAGGCCAAGGCGTGGAAGAGGCGTAACCCGCTGTGGGGAGCGCGCGTGGAGGCCGAGACCCAGAGGTGGAACAGGTACCAACATCGCTATCCTTGCCTCTTTTTTCGCATCTTCGGCCTTTGGGAGGCCCTCGTCGCCACAGCTGAGTTCGCCTCGAAGCTTTGGCCAGAACGTATCCGGGAGAGGTCTGGTGAGTAGCTGTATCGATACTCTTGGATCTCCGCAGAGTCCTGCAGTTTATGTTTTTGTTCCTCCCAGGGCCCTGCCAGAGGTGTCCTTCGTCGTCGCCCGGGGGGCCGTCGTGAGGCATCCTCGGGCCTCCTGGGGCATCTTGGAGCCATTGGGGGTCTTCTTTTGTGGGCCGGTATCCGCTGCCTGCCGCAAGTTCCACCACCGTGCCTGCGCGACACTCCGTGTTGCGGCGCGTCGAGCACCGCCCAGACGGCCGCAACTTGTGACATCTCCCGCCTCCAATCCGTGATGGGGCCCTTCTGGGGTCCACCCGTGCCGTCTTGGGTTTGTCTTGGGCTCCCGTGGGGCCGTCCTGGGGCCCTTCTGGGGCGTCTTGGGGGGCTCCCTTCGGCCGTTTTGGAGCTGTCTCGGGGTGTTTGGGGCCCCTCTCAGTCGTTTGGAGGTTCTCCAGAGCTGCCTTGTGGGCCTCTTGGGGCTCTCTTGGATCATCTTGGGGCCCTCTTGGGCTGTCCTAGGCCTTTCCTGGGCCGTCTTGGGGCCTCCTTTGGAGCTGTCCGAGGTCGTCTAAGGGGCTTCGTGGGGCCCTCGTTTTGGCTCTTCTTTTCTGTATATCCGATACCTCCTTGGAGCCATCTTGAGCCCAGAAGCCCAGAAAACGTCACATGTTCAATCACCTCAAGATTTTAGCCTTCCTGTAGGACGTCTTGGCTTTCTAGCCAGCTGTCTGCGGCTAATTCCGCCTCCGTGCCAGCCCAGCAGTGTGCGTGGCAACGACCAGAATGCTCTACCACGTGACGCCTCTCTGGTCTATTCCATGAGGGTCTCCCAGGATGCCCAAGTATCTGGGCCGTCTTCGTCTTTGGGCCGTCTCGGGCTCCAGTGGGGCCGCCTGGGGGGCCCTCTTGGGGCGTCTTGGGGCTCTAGCTCTTCTGCCGTACTGACACCATCCTGGGTCCCTCTCGGTCCTCCAGAGGGTCTCTCGAGCTGTCTCGGGGGCCTCAGCCTTTTGGGCAACGGTTGGCCTTTCTTGGGTCCTCCTGGGCGCCTCGTGGGCCGTCTTGGGGCCCTCCTGGGGCACCCCTCGCCTTCGTGTTGGCGGCCTCTGCGCGTGCAGTGGAGAGCCCCTCCACCTCCCGCCTGTCCTCCCCCCCCCGCCCCGCCCCGCCCCGCCCGCCTGCTGGCCCGCACCTGCCCACCCGTGCGCAGGGGCAACGATCTAGGGGGGGATCTAGGAAAGAGCGTGTTCTACCGCTGCTGGCGGAAAACCGGGGGGGGTCACTACCGGTTCGAACCCCTCCCCCCCCCCCCACCCCTCCGGAAAACGGGGGGGTTCACTACCGGTTCGAACCTCTCCCCCCCCCCCCCCAGCTCATCATGAAAAGGGGGGGGTGTCACTACCGGTTCGAACCCCTTCCCCCCCCCCCCTCGAAAACCGGGGGGGGTCACTACCGGTTCGAACCCCCCCCCCCCCTCGAAAACCGAGTGGGGGTGCGGACAGTGGTGGGGACGGTGTTGGTGGGGACAGTGGTGAGGGGACAGCGGGACAGTGGTGGGGACAGTGGGACAGAGGGACAGTGGTGGGGACGGTAGTGGTGGGGACAGTGGTGGGGACAATGGTGGGAACAGGGGGGGGACAGTGGACAGTGGTGGTGACGGTGGTGGTGGGGACAGTGGTGTGGGGACAATGGAAATGAGGTGGAAACAGTGGGACAGTGGAGGGTACAATGGTGGTGGGGACAGTGGTGAAGGCGGTGGCGAGGACGGCGGTGGGACAATGGGACAACGGTACAGTGGGGACAGTGGTGGGGACAGTGGGGGCAGTGGTGGGGACAGTGGGACAGCTCAGTGGGACAGCGGAGGAGTCTGTGGGACAGTGGGGACAGTGGGGATAGTCGGGCAGTGGTTGGGGCCGTGGAGACAGTGGGGTGAGTGGAACCGTGGTGGGAACAGTTCTGGGGACAGCGGGGACAGTGCGACAGTGGTGGGGCCACTGGTGGGGACAGTAGGGGCGGTGGTGGAACCTGTGGGGACTGCGGTGGTGAGGACAGTGGTGCTGGGAACACCAGTGGGGGATGTGATGCGGACGGTGGTGGGGACCGGGAGTCGTTTGCTGGCGGTGAGTAGGGGGGGGGGGGGGTGGGGGGGGGGGGGGGGGGGGTTAGGGGGGGGGGGGGTTCGAACCGGTAGTGACCCCCCCCGGTTTTCCGGATCGAAGGTTGGGGACAGTGGGGGGGGGAGGGTTCGAACCGGTAGTGACCCCCCCGGTTTTTCGGATCGGAGGAGGGGGGGGGGGGGGGAGGGGTTCGAACCGGTAGTGACCCCCCTCAGTTTTCGAGCGGGAGGGGGGGGGGGGGGAGGGGTTAGGGGAGGGGGGGGTTTTGCCGCCCCCTCCGGGGAGGGGGGGAGGGGGGGGGGAGGGGTTCCAGCAGGGTGGGGGGATTTTCGGAGGTGGGGGGGGGGGCGACCGGGTTCCGGAGGAAAAGGTTGGCAATTTTCCACAGTAAAGCGGCGGTGGATCACGCTCTCTCGGATCTAGGCACAAGGGGGGGAGGCGTCGACCCCCGACCGCCCACCGATTGCCGATGGGGTTCCGACAGCCCCAGCCCGCCCAGGAAGGTGCGGATTCGCCGTCGGAGGCCCATGGTCGATCTGTCGGCGATGCATCGCCGGTTCCAGGTCGGTGCACTTCCCCCCCTGTGCCAGTCCCCCCCTGTCGTTGCCCCTCACCGTGCCTGGCCGGCCGCCCCGCCGGCCGCCTGCTGCTCCGCGGAAAAGTTTCGGCCACGCGCAGATCAGGAGGAGAAGAAACACACAGACACAATTACTCGATCCCCCAGAAAATATGGGAAAATATGGGCAGTGGAGGGGAGACACAAACCCAGAAAATATTGGAAAATACAGGGAATCCTTTGATTTGTGTGTGTATCTATTTGTGTGTCCCAGGGCCCCTTCAGCAGAGGGGGGAGGGGGGTGGGGGGAGTGGGGAGGGCTTCTCAGAGGCACTCCTGCCTCTCAGGAGGCGCGGGCCTCGTCCACGGATGCAGGGCCGGCGCCGCCTGAACAGCACGCCTCCTCCTGAGACGCCCTCCCCCCCGGCCTCCTTCCTCCTCCCTCCTCCTCCTCCTCCCTCTCCTCCTGCCTCTCCTCCCCCCCCCCTCCTCCTCCTCCTCCTCCTCCTCCTCCTCCTCCTCCTCTCCTCCTCCTCCTCCTCCTCCTCCTCCTCCCCTCCTCCTCCTTCCCCCTCGTCCCTCCCCCCTCCTCCTCCCCTCCCTCCTTGGCGCGCCGCCGGGAGCTGCAGCACCACGAGAGAGCTCACGGCCCGAGCCCCAGACGCCCAGCCCTCTGCGGGCGCCTCTCGGGCCGCACGGCCTGCGGTGCTCCCCTAGGGGGCCGGACGCTGGCCCTGCGAGGGCGCCCGGCGCCGAGAGTTCTGCGGCGGACGGAGCTCGCGGCCCCCCCGCGCGGGAGCCGCGCAGCGCCGCGCCCGCCGTTGGCCCCCCCCCGCCAGGTGGACGGGTCGGCGCAGGTCGTGCAGGGCTTTGTCGTCGGGCGCCGCCCCCGCGCCGCGCAGCGACCGCGGCGTGCCAGTCGCAGCCGCTGCGCGCCGGGGCCACCGGCCCCCCCGCCCCTCCGCCGCCTCCGCCGCCTCCTCCTCACGCCCCCTGGTTGTTGCTCTGCTCCTTCCTGTTGTTGTGCGTTTTGCGAGCGTAGCCACTATTCCTATGATCGGCAGTGCGATGAGTATGTTTGCCATGATTCGTATCATTGTTGCCTCTCCTGCTTCCGAGTGCTGCTTCTGGTCCTCCATCGCCTGCTCCTCCCCCTCCCCCTTCCGCCCCCCCCGCCCGACTGTCGCGGCCGTGGGCCGTGGCCGCCTCCTGGCAGCAGTGACCCTGACTCGTGCTTCGGGGGCGACTTCTCCTTCTCCTTCTCCTTCCTCTTTCCTCCTTCCTCCTCCTCCTTCCTCCTCCTCCTTCCTCCTCCTCCTCCTCTTCAGAGATCTGGGGCTCCGGCAAAAATGGAGCAGTTAGCTTTTTGCTATTTTCGGCTTCCAGGGTCCTTCAACGGGCCCCAGGGCCGTAGCGAAAACGACCCAGGACAAAAACAGGCCCTAGGCCAGACCCCTGGGGATCCGCACATCGAGAAAATTGGAGCTCTAGATGTGCGGGATCCTCTTCCTCCTTGGTGAGGCTTCGGCTAGCGCACAAACAGCCCCCCCCCCCAAGGCTGTCCTGGCTGGTCTCGACATGCTCGAGGCGGTCTCATCACCCCAATCCTGGGCGCGGAGCGCTCCAGGCGCGCCGCCGGAGGCGGCGCGAGGGTGTTGAGACCGCGACGGGCGAATTATACTTAAGGGCCTGTGGAGGCCAGCCGGGACTGCCTGGAGGGGGGGTTCTGTTCGTGCGCAGCCTCCTTCCTCTTCATTGTCTTCGTCCCCGCGCCCGGCAGTCGCAGCCGTGTGTTGCGGCACACGCCAAGCAGTGGTAACCTCGGCTCGTGGTTCGAGGACGAACATCGGATTGACCCAAAAGGGGGTCCAGCGACAAGGGGGTTCGAGGATCAACAAGACAACATCTTCTTCTTCTTCTTCTTCTTCTTCTCCATCTCCTTCTTCTGCTCCATCCTCCTCCGCCTCCTCCTTCCCCCGTCCGACTGTCCCAGCCGTGCGTTGTGGCACACGCCAGGCAGGGGTGAGCCTGACGCGTGCTTCGAGGGCGACCGAGTCGAACCTCCTCCCCCCTTCCGACCCCTTCCGGTCCCGTGGGGAGAAGAAGGGGGAGGAGGAGCGGGAGGAAACTGGAGGAGTCCGCCATCACGTAGTGATTCAGTCGTAGGATGCATCTCGAGATGACCGCTGAGCGCTCCCACGAAGGTAACGACGTCTTAATACTCAGTACCAAACCTTGTGCGCCACATGTGTATTTAGTAAAACACATTTCGGGAAATCATATAACCAAGAACGCAATGAAAACGTACGGGGAGTAGTGAGAATGGCCATCCACTCTCCTGATCATGTTCCTCCACAACGGGCTACACCCTCGCATGCCCACCGCGCGAGCACCTTGACACACACGCTGGTTGTATTGTAGTGGCCTTCGGCCAGTGCCGCCCATCCGGGTCGCTTCGGGTGCCCCCCAGATTGGGCGGCGACACTTCGCCGACAGACACGCGCGCACACGCTCGCAGACATTACGCACACCCACGCACACACACACACACACGCACACGCGCACGCACACGCACACGCACACACAGCACACATACACACATACACACACACACACACTACTCACACACACACGATACACACCCGCATACACACATTCACCACACTCACACACGCGTGCCACCTTCGCAAGCACGTACACACGTGCACGCCGGCAACACACACACACCACGCACACCGCACAAATACACACAGACCACAGAACAGACACGCATTTCACCGCCACCTGCGTCTTCCCCGCCATTTGTTTCCCGTTTTCCAGTCTTTTCCCGTTCGCCCTCTTTCCCCGATTCTCTTCTCGCGCACACGGACAAAAATTGCCCCGCGCCCGCGCGCGCGTCCCCCCTCCCCTCCTTCCTCGGCAGAGCCACCCCGGCAACCCCCCCAGAGGCTGAAATTCAGCCTCGAGGCTGTAGCTGAGGCCCCTTCAAATTCACACGCCACGGACCCCCCCCGTTTTCCTTTCCCCCACGCCATCGGAACCCACGCCACAGGACCCCCCCCCCTTCCGCTTTCCCCCCAATTCCCCCTGTCGACAGGCGGGACGGGGGACTGGACCCCGCCCCCCCCTCCACGCCACCGGATCCCGCGCCGCCGGACCTCCCCCCCCGTCCCCCTACCCCGGCAGAGCAAACCCGGCCACCGGACCCCCCCTTTCCCCCCCCCGCGCCACCAGAACCCGCGCCCCTGGAACATTTCCCCCCGTCCCCCTTCCCCCTACCCCGGCAGAGCCACCACGGTCACCCCTTCCCCCTTGAACTCACACGCCGGATCGGCGGATTTCCAATCGGCGGATTTCCAACCTTGTCGATCAGAAGGACTGGCATGAGGAGAGAAAGAACGGGGACCATTGCCGGCAGCTGTTCTCGTCCACCCGGAGCAGGGATCGTTGGTGGAATCGCCGAGAACGTTGTCCTTGCATGTCGAGAGACGCCCAACAACGTTCGCTGTCGGTCGAGGACATCGTTTGCTGTATGGCATCGTCCTCATTTTGGTTTGACGGTGACATGACGGTGGTGATGGTGATGGTGGTGTTGGTGATGACGGCATGAGGTGGGTTAGGATGATAAGGATGATCCCAGGACGGCGACGATGACGATCGCACCCAGCGACGACAACGACGACGACGATGATGATGCTGCTGCTGTTGTTGATGCCGTTGTGGATGATGCCGATGATGATGATACGGACGGTTTTGGTGACGGTTGTGGTTAGCATGATTCTGGTGATGACGATGTTGATGATGATCATGCTGAATGGTCATTGTGTACTATTGTTCGCCTTACGGCTCTAGCGGAAAACATCTCCTATCCTTCCGATGCCACGGTTGAACAATTTGAAACCGACCCCAGCCCCCCACAACTATGTACTTTACATTTCAATGTTTCACATTTATGGCGAATGTGCGTAAGTGTAGGTGCACTATCGGCGAGACCATTGCCAGCTGCCGCAGGGGGCCCCGCGCGCGCGGCGAAGGTTTGGGTCCGCTCGACGCGGCCTCGCCCGCGCCGACATTCCCGGGGCCGCGCGTGCCTTGGCCGCGGCATGCAGTTTGAGGCGACGGCGACGCTGTCCCTCACACGGCAGCGCCGTCCAGCCGAAGGCCCCCGCGCCCGCCTCCGTCGCTTCTTCATGACCCCGCCGACGGAACAAATGGGTCGGGAACGTTTTCCTTCAGGCCGCTGGTTCAAACATTTTTCTGTTGGCAGAAACTTGTCGGGGTTCTCCCGCGCGAGCCTGTCCGCTTCGGGGAAGTTGAGATTTATTTTCTTATTGGGTTTATACAAACTTGTTTCGCCTGGCGCCGGAACTATGTTGTTGGGGTGGATCTAAGCTTTTCGATGCGCGCCCGTGCGGGGCGGGCCGCGGGCGCCGCCTGGGGCCTTTGGCAGCGCAGCCAAGGGCCGACGCGCCCATTGGTTTTTGCCTTGGCGAGAGCGCGCGGATATCCATAGTGGTTTTGGGTATTGACCGCGCGCCAGCACAAGGAAACGCCAATTTCAACTGCCAATGAGCATAGCAGCAGCGCGCCGTTCGCATTGAATTGCTCGGCGTTGTCGTTGGCTGACCGTCGAGCAGTTTCCGCTTGCAGTTTGCGCGTCGTCTGGATCTCCCACAGTGCTGGAGTTTTTTACGTGGGAGACGGGGGTTGTTTTTCATGCGTTCAACAGTTGGTAGCGGAGCGGGGCCCCGCCGACGCGCTCGGCGGCGGCGGCTCTGAGCGCGGCAGCCGACCAGCGCTCGAGAACCTCGGCCAGGCTCCGCTCGAGCGGCTGAGCTGCGAAATGATTCGCGGGGTGCCTTCGGAGGGCGACGAGGCCCTTTTCCTGGGCGCGAAGGAGAAAGGCAGTGAGGCAAGTGTCTCTGGCGAGGCGGCGGCGGCCTCAGCGGGTCAGAGCGCTGCCCCGACAGCGAGGGGCTGGCATCCTCGCCGAGGCGCTTCGCGACCTGATCCAGATAATAGTCAGGGGGACTGCGTCGGCGGGTCAGGGTGCGCGGGCGGCAGGGCGGGGGGGCGCGCCGTGGGCGGGGTGGGGCGGGGCGGTCGACCTGGCGGCCGACCCATGGGAGGACGCCGAGCACGACCCTGGCGCACAGGGGCCAGCGGCAAGGCGGCAGCGGCCATGGCCCGCGCTGGCGCTTCCAGCAGTGAGCAGCACGACAGCCCGCGGCTGCCGGAGCTCGGGCGCTGGGGCGGAGTCGGCTCCGGCAGCGGCGGCGGCGACTGGAGTGCCGACGGCTGGGCCGCGGGCCGCCGGGGCGGTCAGAGCTGGCGCTCGAGCGCGTGGGGCGGCGGTCGCGGCGAGTGCTCAGATCCCCCAGCGCGCCCGCGGTGGGCGCGCTATCGATGGTGGAGAACAGGCCGGCGCAGGTGGGGCAACGCCGCGCGCGTTCCCGTGTGGCGCAGGAGATAGAAGTTCATGGAGATGCTCGACCGCGCGATGCAGGCCAGCTTCGACGACATCAGCGAGGCCGGCCTCGCGTCGATGCAGCGGCTGGACACCCTCCTCAAGAGAATTGACGCGACGGCAGTTGCTCGCGAGGGTGACGAGCGTCGAGGAGCAGGGCGCAGAGCCTCGTTCGAGGCGACCCGCGAGCAGAAGGAGAGCCCGGCGCAGTTCGCGAGCAGAAGAGTGGCCGCTCTCCTCGAGGCCGAGACCCACGAACTGCGGACGCCCCCGAAGCCGAAGGGGTTGTTTCTAGAAGAAAGAGCCGGGCAGACGGCTCAGGGCGCGCAGATTGTGCGGACGCCGACGCATGGCCAGCTCGATTTTGCCAACATGCCCTGGGCATCAGGCGGATGGGTTCGCCCAGCGCGGAG